CTGTAAAAGCAGCCAGGGTACAACAAAGAACTGTAGAGCCATAGATTTGCCGTCTCTGTGTGTCTTATTGAACGACATCACATTTACTCCTGAACCTACTCTTCTTGAACACTGGGTCAGAAGAAGTTGTTACAAACGGGTTCGGCGTCTGGGAAAGAAACACGTCTTTCACTTAACTCAGAAGTAGCATCCGTTACCTGGTTCCAGAATGAGAACAGTAATTAATTGCATCTAAGGGCAATTTGACGATGCAAAATTTAGGCCTGCCAATCACTGTGGCCGAGCATTCTAAGATACGAACTGTCTTCCCTTTCTCGAACGCTGTGATCGTGTGTTCGAATCCCACTCATGGCATCGATGTCTGTACTATGTTCTCTTATTCTGTGTTTGTGTTGCTCTGTGTGTAGGCAGAGGTCTTGCGGCGGGCTGATCCCCGTCCGAGTCCTACCAACTGCGTATAGGGTCAAGTAACTGAAAAAGCGGCCAAGGCTAAATACAGGGATGTATAGTCATAATAAAAAGAACCTTTAGGCCTATCGGTAATAACTCGTCAGTGCGTGGTTTTACTTTCTTCTTCCATCTTACACGATCACCTATCAGACTTACATCTGAACAGACATTCGTGTACAAGTAATACAATTCGAACCATGTAATCAAATTCTAGAGTCCTAATTGGTTACTTGTAACACGAATGTTGTCATAGAGCAATGAAGCTTCTTCATAGTCTGTATGCAAACTGTAACGTTAATTAACGTTGCGGTCTCAGCAGACTGCATGTCACCACAAACGTTACGCAAAACAGCCGGAGCGGGGAGCTCTGATACTGTGCGAACCGCACTTGTGGGGTCTCAATTCAACAGTTGTTCTTACTCACTTTATGATTGTGCTTTGGGCTATTAAGTGAGCATATAAATAAGTAAATAAATAAATAAATAAATAAATAAATAACTACGCTACCGCGTGCCCCCTAATTAAAGGGTACAGTTTTTCCTGGAATTATTTAATTAAGCAATACTCCCTGAAGACGTGTGGGGGAGTGAAGTTATAGCTCCACCAATCTCTACCTAAGGGGAAAGAGCCCCAATAAGAACTGTGCAGAGGGCAGGGTGGGTCGCAGAACCAGTTTGGACNCTCTTTACTCCCCAGGAAAATTATTTAATTAATTCCTGGTACTCATTTCTGTTAGAGGCTGAGTCGATCCCAGGGCCATAGTGCGGCTGGAAGGATTAGGTCAAATGAAAAAAATTCAATGACCTCATCGGGACTTGAACCCGCGACCTTCCGGCTTGTAGCATAGCCCCTCAACCAACTACGCTACCGCGTGCCCCCTAATTAAAGGGTACAGTTTTTCCTGGAATTATTTAATTAAGCAATACTCCCTGAAGACGTGTGGGGGAGTGAAGTTATAGCTCCACCAATCTCTACCTAAGGGGAAAGAGCCCCAATAAGAACTGTGCAGAGGGCAGGGTGGGTCGCAGAACCAGTTTGGACATTATGGAAGAGAGAAAAAATCAGGAATAAAACCCCAATTGTTTGGTCGTCCAACCCGTGGTCTAATGTCTACGCCGACCGAGCCGTCCAGGACCTACTGAAAGTACCAAGTATGAATTTAGTTTAAATACATTCAGTGATTATCGAAGTCGCTTTATGCATACGTATAGTCGGACAAACAGACCGAATTTAATGGTCGCTCCGCAGAGCTGTGAGCGCGCTTAAAGCTGGCAAAGAAATTAGGCATTAATTATTCAAATACATCGTTCTTGCTTCAAATTTTATACATGTTCTACATATAATATGACGCTAAAATACAGTATTACCATATCTTCAGTACTCTGTGTACCCTTCTGTCAACATTCTGGAAATTCTCGTTGGAATTCCTGTGTCTTACGTTCAGACAGTCTGGGAGAGGCAACAGTGTTTCAAGCGCCCCAGGAAGACATGAAATGTTAGAGTGAAATATTTTCGGGGATGGTTACAATGAAACATCCTACACTGGAAAGCGGTCCTGTGCGGTGTCTTATAGGGCTTCAAGTTAACAATCTGTCGCCAACCCACATATATTTAATTGGATTTCTTTTTCCAGTTGAATGGCTGACCTACAGCCACCAAGAACCTTACTCGCTAACAGAATTTTTGATCTTCATAGACTGAGCTCCAGTAAGTTACGATTCCATCAAAACATATTCCCATTTTCAGGGGTTCTTCACGAAGAACAAACTTACTCACTGACATTTATAGCGTCGCGTTTATGTGTGGCTATAGATGGGATATGGATTGGTTAATGGCTCTATACACCACATATCAAAGCATACCACATAAACAGCACAAAAGAACAACAGTAACAATCAATACCCTGGTAATAAGAAAGAAGATAAATTCGTGCTAATGAAACGGTTAACACAAAGAAGCTAGCCAGTAATAGAACAATCAGACGAAAAGATGCGTGGTCTACTACAGCAACAGGCACTAAAGTGAATACAGCATACGACACTTTTAAATCAATTTTAAAAATTAATCAAATCATTTTTAATTATTTAATTTTTAATTTTAAAATTTTAGTTTGATATATGTATTTTATTTAAATCAACATCTCTCAGAATATAAATATACATAGAAAGTAGTTATTTTAAGATTTGAGGCTTTGTAAGATTTGAAGCTTTCACGGCGGTGACTATGAAGAAAGCAGTCTTCTGGGATTTGGCACCGTGTATATGTGGTGTTAACCGACGTTTCGGAGGAACGTATCGCCTCCATCTTCAGGGTAGAAGGAAAAATATAAGAAATCCGCAAGTGAAGAGACCGTGAGAACCGGTAAAAGCAGACTGGTCTGGAATCTGTATTATTAGTTATACTACAGTAACAGGATGCAAACATTAAAAATAAAGCAAGAAGAGTTGTGAAAGTCACAAATAATTAAACAAAAAAATACGGGGCTATTCTGAACACTGAAGGGACTATTTCAGTCAGTCATTTTCGACAAACGTTTGCATAAAGTTTCCATGGATAAATCTTTTCCCACCCTGAGCATTTATACAAATTTCATAATGCCCCACTTTAAACTTTTGACACTTAATCCTTTCTCCGTTTAAACAGACTTTTGCCAAAGAGCTTTAAATCACAGAAACCATACCGCAAGTTCTCTTAAACTTTCAGTCTCACTGTCGGGCTCCCTTTGCTTTCTTTGTAGTCTTCCAGATTTTTGTTTTTTTCCAGCAGCTTCCATAGAATTGCTGTAAGATATTAAACTGTTACGTCTTGGTTTCTTGCTCTCTTTCTAGGATGTTTATCCGGACTTGGTATGATGACTTTTGGGGTGAAGATTCCACAGACAATTTCCGTGCACCAATAGACGCGGTGGGGACAGGACGGACTTCAGGAAGCCAGTATTACCTTTGCTGTTCGATTCAGAATCGTTCAAATATAGATATCAATTTCTGGATCGTCCTTCATGAACTCGGTAGAGGGAAGGAACTCATCATCTAACATATGTTTATGGATGCAAGGATGAGACCCTGTACTTTTGAATCCTTTCAGAACAAGATAACTGTTGCATTTGACTCCAGGACGCAAAAACAGCTTTCGGAACTTGGATTTCTTGATGGATGCTTATGGCATGTATGGCCATGCATGCATGCACGAGTATCTTCATAATTTTCTCCGTTTTCTTCCATTCCTGGCAAAATTTTTCAAAATAATTTTTTAACTCCGCTTTCCTTATTTACGTAAGATTTGAGGCTTTCACGGCGGTGANCTACCCTGAAGAAGGAGGCGATACGTTCCTCCGAAACGTCGGTTAACACCACTTATACACGGTGCCAAATCCCAGAAGACTGCCTTCTTCCTTATTTACCTTCACGCTCTTGAGTTTCGCTGCAAGGACAACGTATGCGAGTAACGAATCGGAGGAAATCGTGGCCTATTTTATGGCACTGTAGTCTCATATTTCACGCATGAGAAAGCGTAGTCGGTATAGCTACTGGCTACGGGCTGGACAAAAGAGGGGCAGAGTTCGAGTCCCGGTAGGGTAAAGAATCTTCTCTTCTCCAGTTCGCCCAAACCAGCTCTGAGGCTCACCCAACCTCCTATCCAATACGTACCAGTATTTTCCCCGGGGGTAAAGCGGCAGGAGTGAAGCTGACCTCTCAACTCCAACTAATGCCGAAGTCAAGTAAATCTGGTTCTACACAACCACCCCCCATGTCTTCAAGGCGTATTGCTTATTTAGTTAAGCACAGGGACAACTTTACTTTTTTACGCAAAATAACACGAATATTCGGCGAATTTAAAGTGCATGGCTCAGTTCCCGTGTAATTTTTTTTTATTGCTAGTGGGGTGGGACTAAGGCCCCTGTACTTGTACCAGCCCCAGATGATAGGTGAGGGTGATTGTGAAGCAATTGGTGGAATGAAGATTGGCAGGGTAAACCGAAGTACTCGGAGAAAACCTGCCCCGGCGCCACTTTGTCCACCACAAATCCCACTTGACCAGACCCGGGATTGAACCCGGGCCCCCCGGTGGGAAGCCAGTGATTATCCGCTTCAGCTATGGCGCGGCCAATTCCCGTGTGTCTTAGGACTCAGAGAACAGAAATAGTACTTAGAAGGCAAAGTTGTTGTGCTTGATTAAGCAAATTAGCGTGAAGACGAAAGAGAATGTGCAAGTATAGCTCCTTTTCTGTTCAACCTCACCACAAGACAAAGAAAAATGGCCACTTCTGACCCCGGATGCTTGAAATCCCGTTACCCACTGAACAGCAAGACAAGTGAACAACGTGCCCGGTATGGACACTGTGGAGAAGCTATATTTAAAATTTCTCCACGGTGGTTTGAAACCGGTTCCCCAAATTCAACATGTTTCATAGTCATCATACAGAATCAGCCATCCCGGCTCCAACTGTGTAACTGAAGAATTTGTTATTTTTAGAGTATTATAGATATGCAAACTAGTCGTAGCAACATCTATTTTTTGTTTTGGCAGCCACACCAAATTCCTCTGACCTGGCAAAGAGTATATAATCTTGGCCTTATAAGATTGCTCTCCATGTTCTTATATTCCACACCGCTAGACTCAGCTCTGGTAAGCACTGAATATTATATTAACAACAACTTGTTAGTATCTTTATTCTTTCTGTACCATGATTGTTCAACTCCTGCTGAAATCTTGTTGTGAATCATATACATCTCCGAATTTAATTGTTTACCAGCGTTTGGATTTAAAATGTCTCCCCGAATTAACAAAACGTTTAAGTCGGTGTGTTTCAGCTTACACGATTTACAAACCTACACAATTTTTCCATTAAATTGGTAATTACTTGTACCATGTATTTCAACGTTAAACTTCCCAGCATATTTCTCACAGGCTTCTGTTTCTCCATTGATTCTTTCCCCATATTGTCTGAGCCTGCTTTCTTCAGTGTAATAGATGTCTCTTGTACAGTTTCGTTCTATGTGCATGTACCAACCGAATTTCGAACTATTATCGAGGGGGTGTGAGCCTTACAGAGTTGAAAATTGGTGACGTCACCTCCAACTTGCGGTTGCTCATCTATTGACTTTTATAAACTTGCTGAGAAGTGCAAGAACAAGAAGACGATGTATAAAAATCTTATATACAATTAGTGTACGTTTTAATGCAAACCAACACGATATCCTAAATAGTCAAATGCTGATACCCCAGAGCGAAACGTTTCGTAGATAAGAGTGTTCAATATATAAGTTTAAACTTACTGGTGAACATGATATGCTTGATATGTTAACACTGCACTCCTAGTTTCTGAAGTGCTAAATTTTATGACTGAATAAACATGTAAACAAGGACGATCATACTATTATAACCAGTATCTGGCGGGATATTATATGGAATGTAATACTCGCAGACTATAGAAATAAATTTTTTACTATTTTATTTGGCAGAAGTGCTCAGTGGTGAAAGAAGCTGAGAGATATGCATGGCAATTAAATTGCGTTACCACTTTACAGATGTGAGGACATACAAGAATGTTCCGGTTTATTAGAATTACTAGTTCCTCATGAGTGGGTTACACTATTTAGGTTCTATTGTTCATGTTTCGGCTGTGAAGTTCGAAGTAGCACATTTCTCTCAATCATTTATATCCACATACGAGGCTTTACTAATTCACAACCCAGAAGGTCTCACAATCTGAACAATCACCTCCATGGCAACCTCAGAACTTCTGCGGATGTTACTGTGTTTTCAGCGCCATGAAAACCGTGGTTCTGTGGTTATGTCTCCTGAGCGCGGCGGGCTCCAGCAGCGGTGCAGCCGAGTTCAAGTGCGCAGAGCCCCCCTCCGCCATGAAGTTTTCCCTCACCAGCTACCGCAACAAGACAGGCCACTGGAAGGCTCAGGTCAGCAAACAGAACCATATTCTGGTCTGATATCGGCTTCTTGTGTTAAGGGGGATAACGAATTCTAGGCTTGAAAGTGAAATTAAACGTCCTTCGAGTTCTATCCTTCCTCTGTCATTACGTTCTGTTCGGAAGTCAACTGAGTTCATGTAAACACAACATAGGCTATAGGCGACAGCGTGTTCGCTTCTCATTGGCTAATAAACTGGGAATACCCTTCGCACAACACACACAAAGTGCCTCTCTTCACTGCATCGTTAGTAACCAGGACACATTCGACGCGTTGTGAACTGTGTTTGTAACTCGTCCTTCCACTTGCGTCTTGTCTGTTTACATGCATTCCATAAACATTCCAAATGAAGTACAGATCTTCCACACACGGAGATACCCAAGCGAATATGCAGTTATTAACACAGACATACACTGAGAAATGTTTAACTTAAACTATATACAGTGCTGGAGTAGCCAAGCTGACGTCGCCCTGGCAGCTTCTGAGTGTAACATCCCGGAAACGTATTGTGGAATGTAGACCCGCTGCTAGGCACCGACCGCAAAACAACCAACTAGACAACGGCCGAAACTAGGCCATGGCCCGTAAACAGCAACAGAGGAACGTGTTTTCTGCTCGGTCCGTGTCGATGGCTGCCCACGCAACGCTGGAATGCGTAATGCAACCGCACTGCAACAATTAAACAGTAGCAGAAGAACGGTGTTTTCTGTGCGTTCCGTGTTGGGATATAGTAAGCAGGACAGAGTTGAATTCAATCAGTCATTGAGTGAGTTAATTAGGTAAGCGCTGGACTTCAGCTGTTCTCACCTTCTGCTCTTAGAAACTGGTAGTTGAGGCCAGAGACATTTCGGGAACCCTGAGGAAGGTGAATGTCCGTCGTTGAAAGCCGCTACCAAGCAACGGCAACCAGGACGCAATTGTGAACACTAGTGTTTGTGTGTGTGTGTAACAGTGAACTGTAAAGTGCTTTATCAAAGTGTGCAATAAATCCAGCCATCAATCCAAAACTCGCCTATTGTCATACTAAAGTCACAGTATTATTGCGTAATAGAAGCTAACGCAAATCTTGCTCTTGCATTTGCAGCAAAATATTCTCTACCTTCTTTGATGTTATCTTTACGGAGCGTTCGAAACACAATTCTTTCAATCGAGCTAACTGCGTAGTGTTAATAGTGATAGGATCCGAAGAATATGAAGTGACAGCGATGAAAGGAAAGTGCGTATACTACACACACACACACACGCATGTAGGTATTTATTTATTTATTTATTATGTTGTACGTGCGGTAATATGAAAAGAACCGTCGGCTCGATAATTAAAATAAACACACGGCATATGAACGAACAAACATTAACAGCAAATAAAGCGGTACCGCAAGATCAGTACTGGTGCGTAGTAAAATGTGTCTTTGGGGGTTCTGAGTTTTGGTTCGGAGAAGGCACATTTGTTAAGATCATTCATTCATCTGTAATCTGCCAAGACGACAGGTCCACAGTCTCTTCCAAAACAGTTCCTCCATTTGATGCGATCTAGAGCTTTCTCCTTCAAATGAAAATATCCTCTTCTGTCCCCAAGGTCATCCAGCATCTTCTTACGTCTTCTTCCTCGTCTTCTGCTCACTTCAAAAATCTTCAAGTGGGAAAGAGCGAAAGTTTGTTAATTGTGGGTTTTTAAAAATGAAGAGTTAATATATTCAACAGCCACGTAACGAAATTGAAATGCAAAAGTAAAGGTAAAACTGTCCTTACGCTTAATTCATTCTCACGCCATAAAGACGTATGGGGGAGTGGATGTATAGCTCCATAATTTTTTACCTCGGCACTGGATTGAGGCGAGTGGTCACCTTCACGCCCCGGCCGCTTTATCTAAGGTGAAAGGACCTTCGGTACCTGTAAGATAGGCTGGGTAGGCCCCTTGCCGAGAAACGAACTCTGGCTGTCCATCCTAAAGTCTGCTGTTACACCTACTGAGCTCTCCCGGCTGCAGTATGTAATTATATATTATTATTAAGTTGAGAATAAATTAACAACAGCTTAGTTTACAATATTAAAATGCATGATAGATGACATTCATCTAAGTCAAGAGAAGCAAAAGTCCCGCCCTCCTGTCATCACGTGTCTTCAAAATCCTTAAAGGCAGGGAATTTAATGAGTCACTGAGCTACCATTATCTCTTCAAGCAAGGTACTGCTGCGCGGAGTAACTTCGATTTCTAACTTCGTGCGCGCAGCGCAAAGTGCCTCGTTTAGAAGCATGGATTTTGTTTGGTCAAGATCCTAGTGATTATAGACGGGGTTTCAGAGTGTTGAGCGGACTTACTGGACTGCGTTGATACAGTGCGTGACTACGCTTCACATTTCACTATTACACACGCATACTCATGTCAACATTCACGTCTTCACTAGCCGTTGCTTGGTAGCGACTTCCAACAGCGAACGTCCCCTTTCTCTGGGTTCCCAAACGTCCCTGGCCTCAGCTACTCACGACTACAACTCTTAACTTGCCCTGCTTATAATATCTCGGCACGGACCGCTATAGAGAAACAGTCCTACATTTCAAAAATCACTATAGGACACACTAGAATTTCTAGAGTATTCACTAGACGTAGCGGCTTCCAACGGCGAGCTTTCCCCTTCCTCCGAATTGCCGAACTATCCCCGGCCTTAGCTACCAGCTTCTCATAGCATCATCTAACAATAACAGAGCTCCAGAAGTCCTCTGACTGACTCACTAACTGCAACAGCTGCCTGGTCATGCTTGTAATATCCCGATAGGGACCGCGTAGAAAACAGCCTGTTGTTGTTTAAGGACAGCTGCCAAGTAATTTCCGGCTCTTATGACTCCACAATTTTTTTTTCTTCCAGCGAATAAGCCACAATATTAAGAAATTTTGGAAGAATTCAAAATTATATTTTCGGATCAGCCACTATATCCACAAACAACTGGCTTGAAAAGGTTCACCGAATGTAGATTTGAAGGTTAGTACAGAAATCCTGCAACACGCCTACCATCCGACAGGAAGGCTACGGCTTTGACGCCTATTGCAACAGTACTGGACAGTGCGCGACGCTGTAGAGGCATGTGAGGTTTCTCTTACTCGTGCCTTCAGGTGCAGCTGGAACACAGAGCGACAGAGCAAGATTCAGCCGAGTGGGAGGTTGACATCGACCACAGAGTTACTCCTCAGTACAATGGTTCCGACACCATCCTCATTGTCGCTACGGTCACAGGTACGTCAGTTCGCCAGCATGCGGTCGAAACGCATGCAAAATATGCAAACTTGCGAATTCAGTTTTGTAGCACAGTATTAACATTAGTAGTTGTAGTAGTCGAATATTATAATTAACAGCTGATCGTATTAATCTTTCTCGAATACAATGATCACTCACATTTGGAAAGGCAGATACGCAGTTGCAAGTGCCATCAAACATTGTAAACAAAAATGGATTTAAGAAGTAAATTTAGTAAATTTTACGTTGAAAATTCGAGGCATATGCCTGTTTATATCTTGTCGCAGGAGAAAATAAATTATTGTCACTTTTAGGTTTGAATTAGAGACCGGATTTGTATTGGAGGATTGGATTTATTGACCACCTGATACATTCACACAATGGTTTGTGCTGTGTTTGATTTGGAGCTGGCACAGGTGTCCGGAGATAGGGACTAGCTCTATCGATTGGGCCCAACTGAGTAGGTTTTACCTGAAGACGAAGACAGAATCCAGTCTTCGAAACATTGTGTTTTGAAAAATAAACAGGATGGTTTTTAGATGAAAACAAGACGATGGATAATATTCGAAAACATAATTCACACATTTTGTTTATAGAAACATACAAGACGCCAAGAGAACTGTACATGTTATGAAATTTGATGGTAATTTTTATGAGCAGATACCCGACTTATTTGAAGCAAAGACAATTTCCTGTACCTTCTCAGCAGATCAGACCCGAGCAGGTTTGTACAGTAGTAATGCCGTAGGCATCAATGCAATACATCCTTAGTTCCAGATTCAACAGGGACACAGTTTTCTTCTGGATATGCGTTTTCACTGGTTACTTCAACCTAACCAGGCAGGGCACGCGGTAGCGTAGCTGGTTGAGGCATTATGCTATAAGTCGGAAGGTCGAGTGTTTGATTCCCGATGAAGTCACTGGATTTTTCAATTGACCTAATCTTTCCAGCCGCACCATAACCCTCGGGTCGACTCAGCCTCTAACAGAAATGAGTACAGGGAATCTTCCTTGGGCTAAAAGGCGGCGGCGTATAAGGCTGACAACTTTACTGCCATCTTTGAGCCGACTGTCTAGATAATGTGGGACCCTCAACGTCTCACAACCCTATGGGCCTTCACGGCCTGGTACAGGGATAGCTTTACTTTTTCTTTTTACTCATTTCTGTTAGAGGCTGAGTCGACCCCAGGACCATAGTGAGGTCGGAAGGATTAGGTCAATTGAAAAAATTCAGTGACCTCATCGGGACTTGAACCCGCGACCTTCCGGCTTGTAGCATAGTGCCTCAACCAACTACGCTACCGCGTGCCCCGGTATATATATCACTTTGAAAATTAAAGAAGATAGACTAAAAATCGAAGACACCTGACTGCACTGTTCTATTGCAGTTCCTCCTGTAGGAACTGCCGTTGTTACGCCAGAGGCTCCGAAACCCGTACCAGAAGGTTACAGAAAGTTTTCAGAGTCCGACTACTTCAAGGTTTACGCAGCAGAAAATTCATGGGTGCCAGCACGCGATATCTGCCAGAAGGAAGGGGCACACCTTGCCGTTGTGAACTCTGAGGCTGAGGCAAGATTCATAACGAGTCTCTGGAATTCCAAATCGGATTGGGCCTTCATAGGAACCCACGACCTATACGAGGAGGGAATATATGTTACGATATACAGTGAGTACCCGAATTCTACCAATAGCTTATACAGAACTCTACATTATTTGTGGTCAGACTTTCTCACAGATGAGAATTTCCCACAGATTGCTTGAGCAAGAATACGAGGCAGCCTAGCAATCAAAGGCAAACTTTGTCCTCATGAATACCTGACATATCAGTGATCTGCTCTTCAAACAAAGTTGGATAAAGAGAAGTGTACCAAATCATTCAGTAAAACTGAAATCATATATTTTTTATAGTAATCAGAATCTACAATTCTATAAGCTACTTTGCTGGTGTAAGAGCTGTAATGCTCAGTCGTGTATTTGTGAAGTGAGTGGAAATACTGGGTACGAAGTGTGGGATACAGTTATATATCTCAAACATAATATATGTTTCAGCATTAAACGCCAATGGCAAGGAAGTTTGAAAATTTTACACAAAACATTAGAAAAGATGCTATGCAGCTTTGTGCGTAATTTTGGGCGGAAATGCCAACAAGAACAGTACTTCAGTAAGACGCAGTGTGCCGGTCACGGTAGCCGAGCGGTCTAAGGGATGTACTGTCTTCGCTCGCTTGGAAACCGTGATCGTGGGTTCGAATCCCACTCAGGGCACGGATGTTTAGTTTGTGTGTGTGCGTTTTTCTGTGTTTGTGTACAGGTAGAGACCTTGCGACGAGCTGATCACACGCCCAAGGAATCCTACCGAATGTGTAAGATCTAGAAAAGCCGAAGTGAACGGAGAAGTTCATGGAGGTAGGCGTAGGCCCACTGGGGCTGTAGTACCAAGGGGGAAAAAAATATTAAATAGTGGTTTAGTTAGTGTGGTGTTCTACTTGCAGATCAGTCGCTCAGTGCCGCAGGTTACGACAAGTGGTTTTTAGGAGAGCCGAACGGAGGTACTGCTGAGAACTGTGGCGTCATCAACCGCAACACGTTGCTAGGAAATTATTTCTGCAACCGTCATTTACCGTTCATCTGTGAATTCCAAAATTGAGCACCCGGGTCTCAGCAATTTCTTATTTTATGATATTAAAACAGCAAACAATTACCACTAGGAACAATTATAGTTTTCCTTATCTAGTGCTCGTTTTGTAACGTCAACGTCTAGGTCTTCCTAGTGGTCCCTTTCTTTCTGGCTTTCTCACCAATATCCTATATACATTCCTCCTCTCCCCATACGTGCTACATGCCCTGTCCATCTCATCCTCCAGGACTTGATCATTCTAATTATACTTGGAGAAAAGTGCATGCTGTGAAGTTCCTCATTATGCAGTTTTCTCCGATCTCTAGTCACTTCGTCTCTCTTCGGTCCAAATATTCTCCTCAGCACCCTGTTCTTGAAGACCCTCAGTGTATGTTCCTCCCTTAATGTCAGAGGCCAAGTTTCACGCCAATACAGAAGCACAGGCAAAATTATATTTTGTGAAAAAATATAGTCCGAAAAAATCGCAGTTCCTACTGTTTCAATATTGGCCGTGTGAGATATTTCTCACGGATGTGCGACTGTCGGTAACAAGATGCAGAGAATGGTGCCACTCGGCTTGCTATCGTTCGAGAGGGAGTAAAATCAGGACTGAGCAGCCGGATATGAGTTTGGCGAAATGTAAACATCTCGTAATACACGCTGATATGCGAGATATAACATTTCGTAATTCCTGGGTCATATTTTCTTTCGAACTCCTGCTCGTCAGCAAAATGAAAAACGACGCATAGCGCAGACGATGACGTCAATACATATAAAGAATGCGTGATAAGTGACGATTGAGTACGCGTGTGGCATTGGCGGAATGCTCTTCGCGTCAAAAATAAACAAAAAATACAAATTCCTACTAGAAAATGGGATATTTATTCTGAAATGTTATCAAATATTTCTATTATTTCTATATTTCTATTTTATACATATCTTAAGGTCTATCTTCACTATATGAAGAGTGAGGAGTCAAGCCAATTTTCGGAGCAAAAGTCCTTGAAGCAATTTTCACACTAACACCATTAAAGGCTACCAGAGCTTCTATTGCGATGGGTTCCCACCAGACACAAATCGAATATTTTCAAAGCAATGGCTTAATTCAATTCTTCTCTTGCATATAAACTGGTGTCAGAATATATATATATATTTTTTTTCCAAATAAAGTTTTCAGAAAAATTCGTGTCCAGAAAAAGGCCTTTGTACGTTTCGTCGTTGTTTATAATGGGATGAAGCACGAAATTGTAAAGGTAAAATTAACCCTGTAACAGACAGTGGAGGCAAATAGGGTTGTGAGACGTCGATGCTCCCATATTATCTAGACAATCGGCTCATAGACGGCGGTAAAGCTGTCAGCCTTAAGCGCCAGGAACATTCCTGGTACCCATTTCTGTTACAGGCTGAGTCGAACTCAGCGCGAATCGAACTATCGTCCTTCCGATACGTAGCAAACTGCCTCAAATAAATGTATGTCTTGCTGTGCAAACGTTTAATTTCAGAACATAACGTAAATTTTCTTCTTCAATATGTAATGCAACGGCAATGAAAATCAAAACATGAATCTTAAGGAAAGTACGATTTTCTTTACTGAAACACAGAACAGTTTATGTAGCGAAGCTTCACTACGAAGACCACCGACCATTCCACCTGTAATTGGTCTTTTACAAAGAGGGTATCTAAATAGGGGATGTGTAAGAACAAGGGTAAGCATCACACATATTGTGACGTGTAGTATTGACTTTTAGACAAGTTTGGACTGGTGAGTCGATTTATCAGATTGTCACCAGTCGTAGCTACAAATAATTATAACATTCTCAACATTAGTGTAATTAATTATAACACATGTAAAGTCACACACAAATTCTTCTTCAAGAACTTCCCGCTGTTCTGTCCTACCGACAACTGGCTCGCCTGATATTTTGGTACTTCGTTATAAAGCCTTGGCACGGACCTCACAGAAAGTACCTCTTCTGTTATAAGTATCGTTGCGTAACGTAGCAACTGGTTACAGAGAACCTACCTTCTATTGTTGTTTGCGCAGACCACATATAAAAAAAAACAGTTTCCCCTCTACTGTTGCATGTTGGGAAATATTTACCGAGCCGTTGCCTGCAAATGCTTTGATCAAATGTGTTACATTATGCATCATGTAACAACTGTACTCAACGAAAATACTGTCCTTAATATTACCTTACATGAATAGCAAATGCAACAGGTAAGATCAGTTAAGCTTTAATAACTAAATAAAAAACACATACAAAATCCCGGCCGATGGTGATATTTCGACGGGGAACGGGGGAAGGCGTGGTCACTAGATATGTAGTCTGAATTGCTCATCACGATAATGGTAAGCCCAGAGGCCGGAAATGGGATTTCCCTTTGTGATATTCTCTTTCTAGATGGGTCTTTTTAAAGACAATTCATGGTTACTGGTTAGGGATGGGGTTGGCCTCTGAATACGTGGTTTCATTACCACTAAAATCGCTTAACACGCAATTCGCGCTACATAAAACTGGTCATATAAACGGGTGGATTTTGAATATGGCGGTCTCAGAGAAGTTCCATTGTAAATGCGATTACTCAGCATATTGTCCTATTAATTTTTGTTAGTTATCAGCCGTCTCACATGCAACTTGCTTTTTAAAACTTTAAAATCTCTTCTGCATAACAATACATGTTTCGACCACCTCTGGTCATCTTCACGTGTTTCTAAAGTTGCTGATGAAACTGCTCTGCTTCTGTCCGTCATTTAAGTTTCTGAGATCTTGTACACATGGGCATACAGACGAGGGCATATCCCAAAAATATTGATCTTACGGACGGAGGCACAGCAGTTTCATCAGCAATTTTAGAGACACGTGAAGATGACCAATGTTAAATGCACCATGTAGTGTGATGTGCAAGAGATTTCAAAGTTTAAAAATTTGCTGGTTACAAAACGGCTGAAAACTACAGGAATAAATAAGTGATGTGCAGCAGTATCCTACGATATAATATTAATATTATCCTGTTTTGTAATAGGAGTTACGTTTCTGTCGTTCTAATGGATCTAACGATATCAATTTATTAGATGATGGAGTCTCTTGTCACAACGACGCAATAAGCAAATACAGACATCATTTCTCCCTCCTTTCGGAAGACTGCACCGGAAGAAATCCACGAAAGCCGTTGTATTTACTGGACAATTCCACGCCGTTGGCCTCGTGACAGCCATACCGAGGATCACATGTCTACACTGAAGTTTTGGGGTACGCGTTAATGTAGCTGGTTGAGGCACGGGTTCCAATCCCGATGAGGTGGACTTTTAAATTTTCCTAAAGCTTGCAGTCCCACTATGGCCCTAAATTCTACTCAGCCTCTAACAGAAGTGAGTACCAGGGGTGCAAAGGGAGGTCAGCGCGTAAAGCTGACAACCTTAACGCCATCTCTGAGCCGACTGTGTAAAGAGAATGTGGGAGCCTCGACGTCTCACAACCCTATGGGCTTTCATGGCCTGTTGCAAGGATAAATTTACATTTTTTTACACTGTAGTTTTAGTGTCCAGTTTTTAAATGGCGATTACTTACACGAGGAAGAGACAGTAACTAGGTCACAAACGTATATAAAACCTAAAACATGTGATATTCGAACATCGGAAAAGCATTTATTTCTCGACATATCCTCCACCAACACTGGTACGTTTGGCCCATCGTTTTACCAGCACGTCGAAACCCGCGGCACAGAAGTTGTGAACCGCTTCACGCTACAAAAACTTCCAACAGTAAAAAAAATTCTTTATGAAAACCCTTTCCATGAAGTCCTTTTGCCCAGAGAAAACGTGCAACAGAGCGCTGTTCTTCAAGCACAAATCATATTTTTTTACTACCGAAACCAGCCTCTGAACATGCGCATGCGCAAGACTGTGATGAAGTTGGACTGCGCTGCTACCTAGTGATACATATAGAAATCCTGTTACGTCCATTACAGCTGTTTTACTTCTATTTGTGGCCTGTTTTGTGATTCCCACGTATGTGGACATATTAGCTTTACTGTACGTCGTGTTACCCTGTGTGGTATCCTTCGTTCAAAGAGCTTTGACAAATATCTAGCTTTAGAAGGAATTGCAATTCTGTAAAAGCCTGAGGGCCCTACCCGTGAAGGGCGAAAATGAAAACTTCATGCAGTGACAAGCAGTGAGTCTGCACATTCGTATCTGCGTAACGGTTTGTTAATGCTTCAAGCACAACTGTACCCAAGTATGTGGTAAAGTGTTCTGCTTATCCACGCCAAGGAACAGACTGTTTCAACCTAAGCAGGAGAAGTTATCATAATTTCCCTTTACATATATTTTCAGCTCGTCTTCTGAAATAGACCACTACAGTACTATTTCGCTGACATTTCTTCCCCCCCCCCTTCTTCCATCCATCCGTGTATGAGCCATGTGTTGTAACACAGAGGTGTATACTTCAACACCAAAACTACTGCAAGTTCTTACGCAATCATATTTCTGTGCCATAGACCCTCCTCGCCATTCTGAGGTCATCTTCTTCATGATTTAATTTCCTCGGCTCTGAGTTCTTGCCATTTCTATTTACTTCCATATCTTCACAATTTGAAGTTGGCTAACATTTTGCATTATGGAACGATGCATTCAAACGGACGTGGAAGAAATTAATTGTGACTTAAGGTACTATTTCGACATTCGGCTAGAGGGACTGAGGAGAAGCACGAAACCCGCAATCAAGACATTCGGAGTCCCGGCTGACAACCTTATCCCACAACCCCCGATTTTAAGCCAGAAATAAATTTGCCCCGTCCTTACACTCATATAAGTAGAGCACCGAGGTGTACAGGTCTAACAATCGCAATGTGATTTTAGTCCGCAAACGAACTATACAGACCGAGCGACCTCCGCTTGTCTGCGAAGTTAGTGCCAACTTTAGCGGGTAGAGGGTGTCGTGTGGTCAGCGTAATAAATACCCACGGCCGTTAATTTCGGTTTCCAAGCCCGGAACCGCTATTTCCTTGAAATAACTTCTCAATTATACTCACGAGACTGAGTGGAGCCCGTTCCAGACCCACTGCTTCTAAAAAAATCTGGTGATGCCGGGAATAGAACCCGGGAATTCTGGATC